TATGACCCAGCTCAATGTTGACGCTGCTGTTTTGTGCCATATAGTGTTTTCATGTTTTGTTTAATTTTACTTATTTACCCTTATTTTTTTTTAGATAACTTGTTAATATGGACCTAGAAGAACGTGAACGACGTCGTATCCTGGCGATACTGGAAGAATCATCAGATAGTGATGAAAATAAATCTATTGCACCTGATTCGGAAAATGAAGACCATGTTAGTGTTCGCAGTCAAGAAAGTGATACTGAACAAGAAGAAAGTGACAGTGAAGATGACATTCCATTGCAACATTTACGTCAGTCCAGTTTTTTGAATGTTATGACTTCAAATGACGACATTGCAGAGTCGTCTGACCAACAGGTACGAGATTCTTTTTATAGCGGAAAAGATGGTACAAAATGGTACAAAACTCCTTTCCGGCTAAATGTCCGCACTCGAAATGAGAATATTATTACACAGCAGCCTGGAGTAGCTCATGAGGCAACGACGGCTAAATCAGAATTAGAATGTTGGCAACTTTTTATACCGGATGATTTGCTCAACACTATACTTATGTACACTAATAATCGAATAAAGGAAAGAATGGCTGCTTGTTCAGATATCTCAAAACACACTTATATGAAAGAAGTTACCTTGAGTGAAATCAAAGCTTTTATCGGGTTACTTTACATAGCTGGATTCCATCGTTCGGAAAGAGAAAATTTGAATGATTTATGGACATCTGATGGTACTGGTGTGGATATTTTTCGTCTAACTATGTCTCAGCAGCGTTTCCATTTTATAAACAGCTGTATCTGCCTGGATGCTAAGTCGACACGCGATTTACGAAAACTAACTGACAATTTGGCTCCTGTTCGTGAAATATTCGCATCATTCGTCGAAAATTGTAAAAAAAATTATGTTCTTGGAGAAAATGTTACGATAGATGAGATGCTGATTGCCTTTAGAGGAAGAGCTAAGTTTAGGCAGTATATACCATCGAAACCAGCCAAATATGGTATTAAGATTTTCGCACTGGTTGATGCTCAAAACTTTTATATTTCAAATTTAGAAATATATGCGGGAAAGCAACCCGATGGCCCCTTTTTTGTCAGCAATAAGCCCTTTGATGTGGTTGATCGCCTCGTGCAGCCTATTTCAAAAAGTTGCCGTAACGTTACATTTGATAACAGGTTCACAAGCTACGAACTAGTGACTCATTTACTAATTCATCATAAATTAACCAGTGTCGGTACTTTGAGAAAAAATAAACGACAGATACCACCAGAGCTTACACGAACCCGCGGGCAGGAGATTTATTCAACTAAGTTTGGATTTCAAAAAGACTTGACGATTATGTCACACATACCAAAGAAAAATAAAATCGTTCTGCTTCTGTCAAGCTTGCATCATGATGATAAAATCGACGAAACCTCTGGTGAAAAGAAAAAACCAGAAATAAATACATTTTATAACATCACAAAAGGTGGAGTGGATGTCGCAGATGAGCTCTGTTCAACTTATAATGTTTGCCGGAATTCAAATAAATGGCCGTTAACATTATTTTATGCCATACTCAATATGGCTGGAGTAAATTCTGGAATTATAAGAAACATCAACAACACAACACACATGAAACGACGTCAGTTTTTAAAAAACTTGGGCTTAGCTCTTGTGAACCAACACATTTCTTTACGTAAAGATTCAGTAAATCTTCCACGGGAAATGCGAAAAAGAATGAAAGAATTTACTGGAGAGACATCTGGAGAACCTCCTGCAAAGCTCACTGGTGTTCGAAGAAGGTGCCAAGATTGTCCCTACAAAAAAGATAGGAAAACAAGCCATTTATGTAACAGTTGCCATAAGTTTATATGCGCTGAGCACGTAATTCCTTACTGTAAAAACTGCAGTGAAAGTGTTAATCAACAATAGTAAATTATGCGAAAGTTCCTGATATTTCTGTGATTAACATTCCAATGATAGTTAGGTTAAGTAGTATAGATTTGATTTAAGTCGTTTTTTTTATTAAAAACTATAAAGTTTTCTTGCTGATAAAAATTTTAGAAGAGTGTTGCATTTTTGTTCTTTAGTTTATAGTTTATAGTTTATAAGAAAAATTAAAATAAAAACTAAACCATCTATTACCAATGTGTTTTAATGCTACTACTATTTATGAATACAGTTGTTTAATGTACTACAAATATTAAATTTCAAATATTGAACATTATTTTAGGCAAAATTGTGACATTTGTGTCCAGGGTCATGATGACCCACCTCAACGTTAGTGTAACCTTTTCCCGCCACAATGACGCCGGGTTAATACTGAAGAAAAATGGTGTATTGTATCGAAGCTTGAAAGTGGAATTCCAAACAAAAGCTTGGCCGTGGAATATGGGGTACCACACTCGACGATTTCAATAATTTGGAAAGAGAGAAAAAATCCAAAAACTTTTTGAGAACAATTTATTGAAAATGAAACGAGCAAGAACAACGAAGCATACAAGGATTGAGGAAGCTTTGCTAAAGTGGTTTAAATATCAAAGATCAAATAATGTGGTTATAAATGGACCAATTCTTCAACAAAAAGCAAACGATTTTGCTCAGCGTTTTGGTGAAGATTTTGTTTGCTCGTCCAGTTGGATTCAACGTTTCCGGGCCAGGCACAATATCGTCGGCGGGAAAATGAGTGGTGAAGCTGCTAGTGTCGATAGTGGTGTAGTAGAAGAATGGATGTCGCAAAAGTGGCCTATGTTATACGAAGAGTACGGACCAGATAACGTTTTTAACGCTGACGAAACTGGACTTTTTTATAATATGACACCAGATTTTAAAGTTTAAAGACGAAAATTGTCTAAGACGAGACTGACGATCATGGTTGCAGCAAACATGACAGGATCCTGTACAAAGAAGCTTTTAGTTATTAGAAAATCTAAGAAACCAAGATGCTTTAAAAAGATACGTTCACTGCCGGTAATGTATGAAAACAATGTAAAGTCATGGATGACGTCGGAAATTTTTGAAATATGGTTGCGCCACTGGGACGCTGAATTAAAAGCACAGAATAAGAAAATTCTACTTTTGGTTGATAACTGTCCTGCTCGTCCGGCTGTTACTAATCTGAAATGTAATTAACTTGTGTTTTTACCACCAAATGTTACATCTGTACTGCAACCAATGGATCAAGGTGTAATAAGGTATTTAAAGTCTCATTATAGAAGAGTACAAGTGTTAAAATTAATTGAAAACCTTGACAATGACGACCAGAAAAGCTTTACGGTTCTTGATGCCATCTTGATGATTTCAGAAGCATGGGAAAAAGTTTCACAAAAAACTATCGCGAATTGCTTTAGACATGCAGGTTTCAAAAGGACTCTCGAGCTCCGCGGCAATATCCTCAAGTGTGACTGAAGATGATGAAGAGGACAACATTTCTTTGGCTTAATTAGGTAAAAATTTACAACCTGCTTTATCTGCTACTGAAGCAGAAGTTATTGATGTGGATAACTCTATTGCCATTTGTGCACCAGTTACAGAAGATGATATTGTACAAGAACTTCAGGAAGAAAATGACGAACAGGAAGAGATTGAAGAAGACTTCAGAGTGCCAACTTTGAGCGATGGTCTGAATGCTGTCAGTATATTGCGAAAAATTGTTCTTTTTAATGAACAATTTCATATTCAGGGATGTTATGATGACACATTAATTAGAATTTAACGTGAACTATAAAGTGCGTACGCACGACAAAAGTGTTCCAAACAGACTAAAATTACAGATTTTATTAATATAGAAAAAAATAATTATTATTTGTATTACCTATTATGTATGAACATGAACCATGACACGACTTATTAATAAACGTTTAATGTGAAATAAATAAAATGTTACCCTCCAATCCGCATTGAGCCAGCGTGGAGGGTCATGGCCCATCCTCCTTAACCATACATAAGGAAAGTCTGAGCCCCTGCAGTGGGGACGTAAAAGGGCTGGTGATGAAATAAAATGTATGTAGTTTTATTCAATAACTTCATAGGCTGTTTTATATAAAAATGGATTATATATGAATAAGTATATTAATCATAGTAGGTATAAAGTTGTAGAATAAAGTAAAATGCAGTAGAATTTTATACTATTTTGTATTTAAAATAATGTTATAAATTTTGCACGTTTACACTCGATCTTTCAGTTAGCGGAAGAGAGCGTTGGAACCAAGTGTTCCATGAATAAAAAATAAAATTAATTATCCTAGACATTTTATGTTTATTATTAAACATAGTTGGGCCGACGCCAGAGTAACTATATTGAACATTATAATGAAATGAACTTGCATGCATATATGTATATATATATATTTTAATAGTAAATTGACATGTTTTCAAATATACTACTTTTATTCATATAATATTAAAGTTCATTCATTTCAACGTATTATATTTTTATTTTAAATTTATAAAACTATTTTAATATATTATAAAACTTTGAAATATAAAAGTTAATTCTTTATTAACAGAGGGCACAATTTTCTAAATGATCTTAAATATACTTTATTGTTTGATATTTTTATTTCTGCCACTCTTACTCGTCCATCTGGACCAGGGATGGTCTTTACAACTCTTGCCATGGGCCAGTTTAATAATGTAGTATTATCATAACGAACTATAACTAGATCACCTTCTTATGTTCACTTTCCTTTGAAATTTGGTCTATAATATACCCTACTGAATGCCTTTTTTTAAATAGATTACATACCCATATTATGATTTAAATTCAGAGAGGTAACATTTAGCCGTAGACTTTCAAATTTAGTCATTTGAAAAAAAAAGTGATCCACTGTTATCAAATCTCCCCTACTAAAAATATTTTTAATGAAAAATGCTTAAAAAAACCACTTTGTCCCTGGCACTATGGTATGGGACTCGAACCCATAAACTCTGGTAATCCAGGCGACTGCTCTAACCTAGCTACACATTTTTGGTTTCATTAGTCAGCTTTCGAGCTATCAACAGCAGTTTCCCTTCTTACCACTACCTAACATGAGGACCGTGAGATTGAAGATGGCGTTTCAAATAATGGAGCCTCGGATAACTCTTACCACACAATTCACAGTGAAAACTGCATTCACCTCTATGAGCTGACATTATATGTTTGTTCAGTCTTGACGGCAACGAGAATCCCCTATTACATATACTGCACTGATGGTTAAATATCTTCAAGTGTACCCTCCTATCATGATCCCTAAGCGTTTTTAGGCTGTTAAAAACTTTTCCACATCCACAATTATACTGTCTCTCTTCACCGTGCACTTTCGATAAATGCTTCCATCTCTCCTTCTGCGAATACAACTTTAAATCACACTTGCTGCATTGGAACGCTGCCTCTCTCTTATGAACAGCTGATACGTGTGCCAACATATTATGTTTCAACTTGAAAAACTTTCCACAATCCGTACAAGGGATTTTGTCTGTCTCCAAATGGTGCTTCTTATTATGAACGTCAAGAGATGTATTATTAAAAAAATTTAAACCGCACACATCACAGACAAATGCACCTGAATGTACAGCCATATGCCTCTTTAGAGCATGAAAAAAACTATAGGACTGTCCACATTCAGTACAAGATAATTTGTCATTTCTCAATTTAAACGTGAGTAGGTTATCTCTGACGTCATGCAGCATTTTCCCGTGCACCATAGACAAATGAGCCTTTAGAGATTGTAAATCATCCATACTTTTATCGCATAGTCTGCAATCTATCCTGTCTATGTCTAGGTACACAGCCTTTCTATAAATAAACGTTTTAAATTTAACAGGATCGTGTTTCAGAGTATGTTCTCGAAGTTTCGATGGGTCTAAAAATGTTTTATCACAATATACACAGCCGTATGTACTGTAGGAAGTGTGAAAGGGACAGACGAATGAGTTCTCAATTACTGTGACGTTGTTTTGGAAATTCAGCTTGTCGTTGTCTACGAATTTCTTTATTGGCTGCTGTGAGGTCTTCGGAGAATCTGTAGAAGAAATATTTGTATGATTATGTTTACGAATGTCTGTAGTAATTACAGTGGTGGACTAATGGGGGAAAGCGGGCGGTACGCCCGTACCTCTGCATGTTCCTATGTCCCATGATCAAGAACAGGTTATGATATCCCGCCCTGCAATTCTGTACAAATATAGACCTGAATTCGAATTCCCCTATAGTGTAAAAAATTCTTTAGTTCCATTTTTGTTAAAAAATACAAAACAAAATTGATTGAATATACATGTTTCAGATATTCTCTTCCTATATTCACTAAACTCACTTCACTTATGCCACGAATTCCCAAATCAAGGTTGAACGGATGCCGCTTTTTGTAGTGAATTCGATTTCGGGTTTGGATTTTTCCAGAATCGCAGGGCAGATCTGTATTTCGTTTTACGAAATTAATGAACAACTGATTGCACTTCACTTTATAAGGATGAAACGGATTCGGTAAGCGATCCCTCGAGGACGTCCGACCTCTGTCGCCACCAATCAAAAAGTGACGACAAGATGGCCGACCGTATTACGTTTCGCCAGAGTCACGTTTTCACTTCACTCTCACCAGTGTCACTCTCGTCAGTATCCAATAATCAGGGCGCAACCGTCGTACCGTCATGTTCATATTTAGAATGTAAATATTTACTATCGGTATTATTGTTTATGTTATCTTATCAGGTAGCAAAATACTTTGAAGCTCCGAAACATCTGAGGCAAGGTCGGTCTTGCTTTATACTTAATAGGGATGATGACTGGGTAAAAAAAATGCAATTTTATTTAGTCTGTCAGTCAGATAATAGAAAAATATTAGATACGTATTTTTTTTTTTACTTCAATTTAACAAGAAATAGCTTAGATAACAGGCATTAAAGTTCAGGAGTGGGGGCTCGTTACGTCGCAGTTGAGTAGAAAACGTACTCCAACGTGACGTCATTCGAAATTTCAACTCAATGTAACGAATTAATTTTATGATTACGAAAAAAATTAAAAAATACGTGTTTAATATTTTTTAACACTTTACCTGACGGACAAACAAACAAAAATTAGTCATCATCCCTATTGCCTTGAACACGTGCAACATGACGCTCTGTTTGCTTGGAAGTGATGATCTTCAACCACGCATACTAGGTACTCTAATGGTGGGATCAGTACCTCTGGATGGCTCAATGAAATCCAGGTATAATTCTTCAAACTCTCGATTTTATTTGCAAATAAATGACTTACAACTAAATTCTAAGATACTGACTCCATGCCGGTCTCGATCAGAAAGATTATCCAGCAGCAAAACACGAAAAAGTACTAATTCAAAATATTAGCGGCCAGCATTGATCATAAATCGCCCGGAGAGTAAACCTACCTATATTATGTGCACGGACGTTACATTACCTATTGTCAATCGTAAACCGCTTTGAAACTGTCAGCCTTGCCAATAAAAGAAAAGCGATTTGTGTTTGTTTCTTTTATTTGTTCACTTCATGTAATGATAGCTCTCCATAACGATTATAAAGATGCTCAGTTCCTTGCGTTTCGTTATAAAAAGTTTACACTGTACCAATTTCGAACTTACGTGATAGATTTTGTGCGCTGTTCAATCTCTCCTTCGTTATTTGAATTTTCATTAACAGTAGCTCCTTTGAATGCAGATGCTCATTTTTAGAGACAATGTTTGTTTTTGTTCTTTTTATTGATTTAGATTTCATTACAGTGTCTTCTTTATTTAAATTGGACGTTTCTGAAAAGGTTACATTTTCAAGTTAACATAATTTTCTATGAATCCATGTATACACATATTCATGGGTTAGCATAATCATCTGCTCTTTTACGTCCCACCGCAGGGGCTCAGGCCTCCCTTATGAATGGCTAAGGAGGGTGGGCCATGGTCCTCCACATTGGCTCAATGCGGATTGGAGGGTATTTACGACTGCAATTACGTGCCTTCCTAAGCACGGAGTAGCTTGAAATATTTTTTTCTTTTGGTCAACCATTCGTGACTGACCCCTGCGAAAGTCGCTTAACAACAGTGATCGCTGGCCGCGGCACTTATCCACTACGCTACCGAGTTACTATGTCTGTTTTAGTATAGTATTATAATATCTATTATAATACTTACCATAATTATTACTGCAGCTTATAAAATCATCGAACCGAGGTTCAGTGTCACGATGTTCCGACTCATTTTTGACGGGCAATTTTGCTTCGATACTTTGCGAATCATCGGATACGTCATCTAAAGAAAGATCATAAATTAATACACAATATTCATAATCGAGTAGCTCGGTGGCGTAGTGGATAAGCGCCGCGGCCTGCGATCGTAGTCGTTAAGCAACTTTCGCAAGGGTCGGTCACGGGATGGGTGACCAAAAAAAAAACTATCTCGAGCTACTCCGTGCTTCGGAAGGCACGTTAAGCCGTTGGCCCCGGCTGCATTTGCAGTCGTTAATACCCTCCCATCCGCATTGGGCCAGCGTGGAGGGTCATAGCCTATCCTCCTTAACCATCCATAAGGAAGGCCTGTGCTCCTGCAGTTGGAACGTAAAAGGGCTGGTGATGATTCATAATTGCACCAACAATCTGACCAAAAGGGTAAAAGCTCAATGATTCCTATGCTCAGGGAGCTAAGTGTTGATTTTCAGCCTTTACCTTATAGTACTAGCACGGTCTCAAACAATAGCGTTACATTAATATGATGGTCTAATTAAAATTAGATTTAAGAGAATGTCAGTTTTAACAAAATCAAAAGTAAATATGTTGAGTATAGACTTCAAAATGAACTGTGGAAATGTGACATACTGTGGTAACCTGACATACACAAGGCGATAATAAAAATGGAATGACACAAAATTCAGGAGCCTCACCATTTTTTATTATTCTACTGTTTAAAAAATTCTCCTCCCAATGAAGCACTTGACGTCTGAACGCGTTGGCCTCTCGCAAGCGACTGACACACATCGCGCATATCAACTGGTCCAATACATCTCCATCTAAGTGAGACAGCTGCGTGAGTGCAAAGGACAAGCGATCAAACTTGGGCTGTGTCTCTTGGATGTGTATTACCCTAAATATAACAATAGAAAATCTACCATTTCAGTGTCATATAAAACAATAATAAATAGTTTCACACCTGACTATTGTACAGTATGCTAGTTCACTGCTTTTTCTGCAAGGAAAGTAGTCTTCTTCACACATTACGCAGGTAGCAAAAAACATATAAGCATTTCTGCAATCCTTGTAACATCTTTATTATTTGTGCAATAGTTTCAGTTAGTTTTACATTCTTGTAATGAAAGCTGTTACATTTTATGTAAAGTGTATAATGTCAGTGAAAAATACTCAGCCTGACACAGAGATTTCATTCTAACCAGCTAAAATATTTTTTTTTCTAACTGCATAAACTTATCATTAGTTCGTCTGACAAGTTTCAACTTCTTCTTCTCTCAAGTAGTTTGTTCACAAGAATTTTTAAAGCAAATGTTCTACGTGTTTTTCACTGAAATGCGTGAGAGTTTTGTGCGGTCATAAAATTCTTGTTTTGCATGGATTAACAGCTAAGAAAATTAATTTATAATGCATAAAATTAGGACATGCATTGTACAGAACCAAGTGCTGGTCATTTACGTAATAATTTGCTCTTTGGCTATAATGGATGTTTCAAGGGATAAAATCAATTTTGTAAGTTGTAATCAAAGAGTTTATATATAAGTATTGAGATATAAACAATGAGACTAATTTATGGCCTTTTTATAAAGGGTTGATGACTCAGGTACTCAAGTAAATACAAGACCACATATATTTTTTCTTGTATTATTACCTTAAAATATATTTTTTTGTGAATGTCTCCTTATGTTTAAATGCAAATGTATATTAAAAAGAAAAGGCACTGTAGCATGCAAAATCATAAGACAAACATTGCCCATCTAAGAACATTACAGGTTTGGTGAAATGACAAATCTACTTAAGCTATTCTTAATATTAAGTGATTTCTATAAATCTATAAATAAAAAGTGATTTTTATAGTTAAGCCATACCTTGTTCTAGGTTAGTGAAAACGGGCATTAGTGGTATTCACTCTTTGGGTATCAAGACAGTAACTGGATAGTAAATAATCTAAACTTAAACTTATTCTAGAGTCGGTTTTAAACCGATGTAGAAATATGTTAATAACTGCCGTAATAACAGAATCGACGTAACCTAAAATGAAAAAGCAAAGTAAATAGACATGTGTACTTACCACTAAACTGAAGCATTCGTCGAAAATATCAGAATATACTTCCTTCTGACCTTGGTGATGGTATTCTACATTTAATATACGACATTTTTTTGTTGCGCCACAGCAACGGCAAATTCCTGGATCGATCACTTGTTGACCTTTTGTAATCATTATGTAGGTAAATTAAAACAGATATTTTTTTCCCAGTCAACCGCTAAACTTAAATTGATCAAAAAACAGAAAAAGACTTTTTAATCATGACACAGAACAATTCTGTGTCAATGGTGTTGAACAAAAAAAAATAGAATCATTAGAGTTGCCCACTACAATCAGTTAAGTCGTGCACAAAATCGGTATATAGCAAAAAATATTAAAAATAGACTTGCGAAAAACAGTATGCTAATATGAAATGCCACGTAACATGTTGATATATCGTACCGCGTAATATGACATGAAAGCATTACTCAGTACTCTAAACATGACCTAAGATAACGCACTATGCGTACGGCAGTGTTACCGACTCCTAACAAAATAAAACCCTAAAATCAAACTCAAATAACACTTAATAACCCTGAATGGTATTATCAATAGCCCCAAAAAAGCCCTGTCCTGCTTATATTACCGACAGATTTAACAATATTGTTTAAACAAAAATCTGTTTTGTTAAGGTGAATAAAACAGAAAACCTCAGTTTTAATCTAATTAACTTTATTAGTTTTAAATACTTGAAATAAGTCTACAGATAATTTTATGGGTTCTACTCCTTCACTTTGGAAAAAACCAATCAGGTAAATAACTTTTTTCAATTCATCTCTTAAAAATAACGAAAACGGTAAATGTTTTATAATGTCATGAAATTGCTCTGCCACGTAACATTTGTCCTGCAATTTAGCAAGTGACAACAGTAATTTTAGCTCATCCTATTGTTCTATAAACGTGCTGATAGCTACGTAACGTGCCACCCACCGCGTCCCAATTAAACCTTGTATTTTTTTGGTTATTGATTATTGTTTATTACTTCATAAACATTTCGATACTTTTTTTTATCACGTTTAGCGCTGTAGCTTAACCTAAAGAAATTGCAGCTCAACTATTAACTTGGGCTGCATTTTCTTTTATATATTGCAAACAATGTTAATTAATCTATTTTAAACCAATTTAAACATTACCTGATTTTTTTTTTATTATTGGCACATAAATTAGCCCTAAAGTTTTTTGAAAAAATGCCCAATTAGTTTATTTCCGTCCTAAATTTAGGGCTAAAAGCCCTAAGTTGATAAGCCTGGCGTACGGCTCGCTATTACGTAGTGGGCAGTCGGACCGATGAACATTCAGTACAATCATGTACTTTTATTTATTTATTTAACAGTTTATTGTACACAATAAAAACACTAAAGAAACAATACAAATATAACTGACACAACAGGCACTACTTATTTCTAACCAGAAATTTCTTCCAGTAGGCCTACGGAAGGAGATTCATAAAAAGTAAGGCAGACACAACGTGCACAATAATTAAATTGAAATATTTACAATAGATACGACTTTTGACCATAATTACATACTTAACATGAACATAAATGTATACTTACATATTATATACTTACATAAATAAGCATAATAAATAATATATATACATAATATAAGCATAAATACATATATAACTAAAAATATTATATATACTAGACAACTAGTGATAAATAGTGCTCTTTGACTCGCTTTTTAAATACAGGTAATGATGGACAATCACGTACTTCGTAGGGGAGAGCGTTCCATAATCTTGCGGCATGGAGAGTGAAGGAATAGGAAAAGAAATCAGAGTGATGGGTGGGGATGGCCAGTGACGTCCTTACGTTCGAACGACAAGGTTTGTCCTGGGCCCGGGAGAAGTGGAAGAGGTTACGGAGATAAGAAGGAGCAGAGGGATTGTATAGGATGTTATAGAGAGTAGAAAGAACATGAGCGTTCCTGCGGTGACGAATTGGAAGCCACTTGAGTTGCGATCGGAACTGGGAAATATGATCGTACTTACGTAAACCGAAAATAAATCTAATACATACATTTTGGAGACACTCTAGTTTGTTTAGAAGCTCCTCAGTGGCATCCAGGTAGCACGCGTCAGCGTAGTCAAGAATGGGGAAAAGGAGAGTCTGTACGAGGGAGATCTTGGTTTTCAGAGGTAAAAAGTTCTGGAGACATTTGAGCGAGTGAAGTGAAAAATGTAATTTTTACCTGTAATTGTACTGAATAGTTTTAAGTAATAGTTTTATTTCATTGCCAATCAACCATCTATAATGATTTCATTTAAAAACAACAAGGTATTTTCTATATTCAATGATTAATTTTCATAGTTTTTTTTTACTTCTTTTTACATATTTTTTGTTTTATGCTTAATATATATTTGGATATAAATAACTGCTATACAAACAATGATGTTTTATTTATAATCACCAACTTACAGGATATTTTTATTATTAAGGGTATTTATAAATTGCTAATAAGCCGTTTTGATTTTCATGCAAGATTTTATATTTTTCAAAGAAAGAATACATTATATGTCTTTCTGCGAATGACGACGGGAACTTTAATACTGCAAAGAAAAATGTGCCTAACTTTATTATGAAGGTGCACAAAGACATAAAAGTAAAATAATATTTATTATTCCCTCGAATAATAATTAAAGCTTATTATTTTAGATAAAACCAAAGAGTAAGTACGCTAGAGTAAATTACGTTCAAGCAAAAAAGGGATTAAAGTGCCTACAAATTATTTGTATCAGAGAAAATTAACATTATTCATATCAAGAAACAGTTACATCGATTTGATTTTGTTATATTTTCGTTACTCTGTTAACATATATCGAATTAAAACCTATATCGAATGCTTCGATCAACAATACAACTAAATAACGTCTGTCATACTAAAACATATATAAATAACTGCTTAAAATTTTTAAGTGTTGTTAGGTTGTACGATTTTTAATAAGCAGCTTTTAAAAACTGCTTATTGCTTAAAGGCTTTTTTTTCAACTGACGTTTGGAAATCGTTATAATAAGCGTGCAACGTTGTGTTATCACTACATATGCTTAAATCTTTAAAACTACGCAACGGATTTTGATGTGGTTTTTTTTTCATAGATAGGGTGATTTAAAAGGAAGGTTTTTATGTATAATACAAGACCACGCGGGCGAAGCCGCTGGCGGAAAGCTAGTATTTATATAAAATAATAAATATTTTTTCAAAGCTAACGAGCTACAAAATCATATAAAACGAAAAGGTTGTAAGTAAAAAAAATATTGATAACATCAAATTTTTTGTACTTTATTTCAATCAATGAGTTTTCCTTCGTACTTAATCACAGGCTTAGGACTGTATGGAATCAATAAAGTTTAACTTAAAATTATTTTATTAATTCATGATCCAGGCGTACTTAAAAGTTCATTAATTTTATTTACATGATTTTTTATTTACATTATTTACAGCACATTTATTTATTTAGTTTTTTTTAAGAATTAAGAAACATTAGTTTTTTTACTTTTGTTGTGGTAAGTCTTGTTCTTCTGTCCTATATTATGTACCCTGATTTAGAGAAGGCTCTTTCGCATGGTACTGATGTGACCATTATATTCGAATTTGAAATAAATAACTGATAAAGCGTAGGATAAATTGTCCGGTGCTCTTTCCACCATTTGATAGGGCACTCTGTTCGAGGAAGTATATTTTCTTTGAAGTACATGTTTAATTCTTCGATTGATTTTTCTCTCGCTGTTTGTGGTTTAAGGGAAGATAAAATTTTTTGGTCAAATTTTCCCCACAATGATGATCCGGGCAGAGAATCACAATGTGAAGCAGCAGGTGCAGTTGCGTCTGGTTTTTCACTTTGAAGTGAGATTATTTTATTTAGTAGGACAACTTTTGCCTTTAACATTAAGGCTTGATCTTCAAATGCATGGTGCTTGAAACGGGGATCTAAAAGAGTGCAAAGTCCAATTTCTTGATTTTCTTCAATGTCTGCAAATTTTGATTCTATTCCCTGTTTCAAATTCAATATAAGGGCATTTACCGACTCATAAAAATTGCGCTGCAGTAGTTGGTCGCATACCGTATGCAGTCCACTAACTAAAACGAGAGCTTTGCTTGCTAAGAGGTACGTCTCACTGCTAATTATTTTAGTCGCATTTTCGAAGGGTTTAAGGACTTCACAAATTTGATTTAAACAATTCCACTCCTCTAAGGGAATTACAGGTAAGTCTACATTCAAATTTTGTATAGTGGCCCTCAACGCTACTCGTAATGCCACAAATCTTTCCAACATGTGGCATGTGGAGTTCCATCGCGTAGGTACTGCCAATAGCAGGCTTTTGGGTTGAGGAACATTTTGTGTCGTCCTCTGATATTTTTGAAGCTTTTCTTTCGCAATGGTACTACGCTTGAAATGCGACACAGTTTTCTGTAATTTGGCGATTGTTAAAGAAATTGTTTCATCGGCTAACGCAGCTTGAACAATTAAGTTGAGCTTATGGGCAAAACAACCAAAATGGGGTATATCCAAATTTCTTGCAGCAGCTTTCATATTTGCTGCATTATCCGTTACTAAGAAATTTACTCTCTCAGTTATAGCCCATTCGGTGAAAATCACTCTCAGCTCATCTGCTAACCTTTCACCGGTATGATGACCTTCAATGGCTGAACATTGTATTAAAATACTGTGGAATTGCAGTGTTTCTTTGCTAATAAAGTGGCCTGTCACTGCCATATATGACTCTAAATTTTTAGAAGTCCAGCAGTCAACAGTGGCACAAATACTGACGCACTGTTGTTGGACTAAAGCTTGAACATGTTGGAGTTGTTCGCTGTACTCGGCCGATAACAATGTATTCGACAACGTTTTCCTACTTGGTAACTCATAACTAGGGTTAATGGTTCCTACAAACTCCTTGAACCCTTCAGCCTCGACAATAATAAATGGTTGAAAATCTAAAGTCATTAGTTTTAATAAGGATTTGTCTATGTTCTTTTTTTCTTCAGGTCTTAACTGGCGAGATAAATAAGAAGCCATGGTTCTTTGACGTTGACGATTTGGAGGAGCCCCACCACCACTATCACCACCACCGACATTTCTAACGGTATTATTTTCGTTACTCTGCTGTTGCTGAGTTACTGATGGCGAGGTTACAGATCCTGTTGGAGCTGAATGGTCCACCCAGACACTATTACCAGGTCGCGCTAAACTACGCGATAGGAATTCATTATATACACTTAGTAATAATAGTAGTTAGTAATAG